CACCCTAAACGTGAGATTTTAAGCAAGTTTCGGATAGCCCCCGGCAGGATCGGGACGTTGGGGACGGTGCGGCCGTGCCAATGAATTACGTCCCCGTCCCACCGGCGCAGCGCACCAACGCCTCGGCCGCAGACCCGGCAGGAAAGCGGGCGGGCTCCTCTGCCGTCCCCTCCGGCCCTGTCACGGACCGCATCGGAAATAAATCACGTGGCTGGACACAGCGCAGGCCCTGCCTGGCTTAATAGCAACGCACGACAAGTTCTGAATTTTTTGATGATGACTTAATTCTCTTCCAGCTCAAACAATAGGCAGGCAAAGGCAGAAAGACTGCCCGGCATCACAAAAATCCAGGGTCGATTCTCAGCTACACCAAGTCTAATAGGAACTACACCAGCTCCCCAGCTCAAGCACCGTATTCCAATAAGCAGGAATAACAAGGATGCCGGTCAGGTAGCATGCCCTGGCAAAAACGCACGGGCCAGCGACGACCCTCAGAAGACGCGACGTCACGCGCTGTCAGTGCGTCAGCTGCAGTGACCGGCTGAGAGAGGGCTGAGCACCGCCAGTCCAGCAGGTACCGCAAGGAATGACTATTTGCCAGGGCACTCAGCAACCTCATCAATCTAAAGTTAGCCAGGGAGAAGATGGAGCTATTGGGGACGTGCTAGGAATGAAGCCAGAGCCTCAGGCTCAGCACTGGTCGAGGGCACCCTTGGCGGATCCTAAAATATCGGCAGCACTGCACAAAGAGGAGCCTGGGCGAGCGGGGGGTGACTGGTCCCCGCTCACGGCCTCGGCTGTGTGTGACAGCACGCGAAGGAGCTGGGCAGCCCTCCTGGTGCCCATGGGAAGGCACCCAGGGGAATAAAGTTGTTTTCCTCAACAGACAACAAGGAAGCCTGTAGCTGGGTAACTATTGCCTGTGCTTCCAGGCAGCTATTGCAAGAAAACAAAATTTTGAGCCCCACAGGACAGACTTGAGCATCACTGCCTTCACCTGGGTGGACTGGGGGAGACTTTAATGCTTTCGCTGATGCGGACAGCAGAATTTACATCCGGGGACACATGCCAGGACCTTGGGAAAAGTCTCCTGCCTGCTCTCTCCTGCCTGCTCTCCCCTTGAGGGAGTCCTGATGGGCTGAATGTCATTTAGACAGTTACAGACAGTGACCTTATAAGGAGCAAGAGTAGCAGGAGATGGACTGAATGAAGTGCAAGATGCCTTGCAGGAAGGTCTTCCTTGCTGGGCTTGTGCCCTTTTTGCCCAGGCCCAGGGGCAGCGTGGCCGAGGGGAGCTGGAAGAAGCGCTGGGAGGGTAAATTGCCAGGCCTAATCTGCCAGCTGGGCTCAATGATACTGAAGGAAGGGCTGCAGCCTGCCCATCTCCCCCTGCACGCTCACAGCAGGGCTGAATCCTTCGCGGGCAGGCAGCTCTGGGGGCCTGGCCCAGCCAGGCTCGTTGCCTACAACGTGGGGACAGCCCTGCTGAGGACACCGTCCCTGTATACGTCCCAGCCTCGCTCCCAGCCCCCAGGCTGGGCAGCTCTCGCAGCGCAAGAGGCAGCCTGTCCGGCAGTGGCCGTGGCTCTGAACCCAGCTTGTGGCGCTGGGAGCTGGGGAGTCCCTCTGTCCTGCCATCCCTGAAGTGGCACAGTCGGACACACACCCTTGGGGCTGCTCTGGGAAAGGCTGTGTCAGGGGAATAAGCTTCACCGCTGCCTTCTTCCCACCCATGCTCCAACAACCTCTCCCCAAATTCTTCTACTCCCCTGCGTGGGTGCCTCCTCACCCCAGTCCCGTGCTGGCAGGACCCAGCAGCAGCGATGGGGAACCAGCGTACCTGTCTGCCCACGAGCACAGGGCACCTCTGCCCTTGAGCTACCCAGAAATGCAGGGAGCTTAGGAAGGGATCTAAAAATCTGGAGAGCCAGAGCTTTCCAGACAGCCCCAGCACTGCCCCAGCACAGCCCCTCTCAGCCTGCCTCTGCCGGGGATCCTCCCGGCTCTCCGAGCTGCTCCTCTCCCTGTCCTGCAGCTGCCTCGGATCAGGCAGAGCAGCATCCCAGCACCATACCTCTGGCCACATTTGCTCCTGCAGCCTCGCTGCTGTCTGCAGGGGGACGTGACCAGCTGTCCCCTGTAGGACATGGACGACGAGACGTTAACGGTGAACATCGCTGCGCGGCACGCTCTGCCCGCGGCGCCCCTGCCTGTGTCCCGCTCGCGGCCGCGAGGCACACAAAGGGCAGGAATGTTCTGAATGCTCCCAGCTCTGCGCCGCGGCCTTGCCGCGCTGTTTATCTCTGCCTGCTCGCTCCTGGGGCTGCTGCAGGACACGCGGCTTCCCAAACTCATGCTTGAGTTTTTTTATGGAAGCACTGAGAGGACACAGACTTCAGCACTCACTTCACTCTGCTAGACCTTACGGACTTAACTCCTTCCTGCCTTTGCAGGCACAGCCAGAGCAGTCCCAACCAGAGGGAGTGCAAAAGCCAGGGAAAAATCCACAGTGCCCACTTGCAATATTCTCAGACGCTGCCAGAGCCCAGCTCTCCATGCCTCCAGCTCCACAGACACACTACGCGTTGCTGTAGCACCTTTCCTTAAAAGCAGAGCTGCAGCAGAGTCATAACTTTGACCTAAGCCAGCTACGCATTCCTGATGTGTTTAGGGGCTGAATCTGCCTTAATATACCCTAGAAAATACAGATAGAGAGAAACGTGCTGCTCAGCTTAGTCTTTCACTGGCCAAAAGGCTTGGGGGCAGGGTGTGCTGGACAAGCAGAAGGGACCTGGAGTGAGGGCTGAAGTCCAGCCCACGTCTCCTGGGCTTAGCAGGGCAGCTGAGGTCTTTGGTGGTCTTTCTAGCAGCGAGTGGCACGTTTCCTAATGCTAGACCCCAAAAGCACCTACACTGGGGTCATTTGGTCCAAATGAGGTTCAATCCCGAGTCCTAGAGAGACCTGCTGGCACTTAAGTGAGCTGCTAAGTCGCCATGCCCTAGGCCTACAGCTACCACCGAATTACCTATACAGGGCTGGAAACTGAGGCACAGAGCCACGTCTCAGCGGGTTTGTTGGAGGCTGCGGGCAGATACTGCCTTGTGCTAACAGTCTTGTCTTGTTCCCTGTTCACCAGCTTTGGAGGGAAAAGCTGTTTTTGCCATTACCTGGGAATGGCATCTCCCAGTCCAAGCGCTCTCTTGTTAGTAGGACACACCTGGTCTGCAGAACCGTGATCTACCCTGAACCCAGCACCGTGAGCCTGTCAGCAGTGAAAAGCTCTTGGCCTCGCAGAGCCAAATGCTGGTACTCAGTTGACAAGAGCAGTGCTGGGGGAGGCTGCGGGGCCATGCGGGTGAGGGAGAATATCTGGGGCAGGTGTGAGGGTGCAGGGAAGACTGCAGCCGTTGGTCCCTCTGCAGTAAATCCAAGCCTGGGGCTAGAGCTCCTACAGGGGAAGAAGTAGGTCAGATTTCTGGGTCTGCCAACCTTGCTCTTAACCAGGCACAGATGATGAACTTGCTACACCCCTTGGTTTTTGCTGCCTCCCAAGCAAAGCACAGGAACTGCTGCTCCACCTTAGCCCAGCAGCCCAGGCAGTCTAGGAACCAGTTGCTGGCATGGAGGAGGACAAAGTGGCTTGGTGGAAGGTAGAGAGACACCACAAGAACCAAGAGGGAGAGGAGCCCCAACTAGGGAAGTCTCATTGCAGGTCTCAGTCGTGATACAGAGTCCACTCATCAGTTTTCATCCTGGGAGGCAGGATGTGATCCCTGCTCAGACCCAAGCTGGATGTTGCGGCATTAACACCTCAACCTTAGCATGAAGCGAAAGCAGTGCGGTCCTTCACAGCTGTGGTGTGGCCCACGGGAAAACAGACACTCTGGTCCAGGCCTGGGTACTGCAGGCCAGCAGGACCACGGGAGCCATGTCCGCGTCCACAGTGGGGAACAGACTTGATACTGGATCTGGGCCATGGCTGCTGACAGGAGTCTCCTGGGATTCAGCTGCTTTATGGGGGAGGCACTGCCTTTGCCCACAACAGTAAAATGCATTTGGAGCACACTGGTCCCAGTGTGTGGTCTGGCTGATGCACAAGCCGGCAGACCCCTGACGGTGAAGCTGTCCCAGGGATGGGTGATGCCTGCAAGGGCTCAGCACTGCTCTCCCCTTGCTCCTGGGATGTGTGAGGGAGGCGCTGAGCCCGCAGCACCGCTGAAAAACTGCAAATCCCGCTGGGAGACCGTGGGCTGTGCCTGGGGACAGCAGGCGGCCCCAGGCCACACAGGGTCTGAGCGGTGCCGGCCTGTCTGCAGCAGGCGCTCTGCAAGGCAGCACCATCCTCTAGCGGCCACCGGCACGTGCTGCATGGGGGCCACCGCCGAGCCACCGCTGCCGGATGACATCCTGGCCAGCCCGGACTTAGAGACTGCTCTTGCTGCTGCCTGGCCCACAACTAACGTCAGCACGTGTATGAAGGGGCAACGCAGGGGCTCGGTGGGATTGGGGTCTCTGGCAGAGGGACAGATGGGGCGTTTTCAGAGCAGTGGGAATCGATGAAAAAAGCATAAATCCTGTAGTATGGCATGCTCCCCCCAGTGCCCTGACAACACGACAATTGCTGCACACGGAGAGGAATGAACGCGGGGAACAGGCTGCAGAGCCTGCATCTTGGACACTGCCACCCCGGTGGGAGAGAGAGGACCCAGATGGAGGCAAGCGCTGCAAAGGTCACGGTGCGCAGCAGGGCCCTGGCCTCAGCTGAGCGCCGAAAAGCTAGAAATCAATACGGTGAATATGATCGCTGATGTTCTCCGAGGAGGACAGTTTGCCTGCCGCTGTCACTGCAACGCCACCCACGCGTGCAAACAAAGCCCACCCCAGGGAGCTGGAGGCTCCGCGCAAGCAGGAGCCGTCACACAACAAGGTAACGCCGGCTCTCGCACCCTGGTGCCTCCCGGCCGGCTGCTGCGGCTGCTTCTGGGGATCAGCCCTGTGCAGCAAGGCAGCACTGATGCCTGAGGACAGGTCCGCTTCTCCTCCTCTGACTTCTGAGAGAACTGGACAAGCCCAGCCAAAAATGGGACTCTGACATCTTTCACTGCAAACGCAACTCTAAAACCAGCCTGCAACCTCAGCCGTAACTGCAGAGCCAATCCTAATCCTACCTTGAATATCAGTCCTAAGAACACAGCCTGAGCCCTAAATCCAGCCCCGGCCTTGAGGATACCAAACCCAAGAACGGGCTCAACGCCCGCCCCACAGCTGCTACAGGGTGAAAGCATGGGAAAAGCTGTAAAGGAAAGGCAAGGTCTCGCTCTCGTATCCTCAGTAGGAGACATCACAAAGTTCTACAAGCACTTAAACTCACTGAGAGTACTGTCTCCTTTTTGCTTCTCTTAAAGAAAAGCAATGTCTGCCTTTTGTTTCCTACGTTTAAAACTGAGCTTGGCGCAGGAGCCCGCGGTGCTGCTTGCACTGGATTTCACCGTAAGAGCAGAGAGCAACTTGCGTTCATGGTATCGTAAATGAATGAAACAAGGGAAAGGACAAAGCTCAAGCTCTGGCAGGCCTACCAGAGGCTCAGGAACGCTCAAGGAGGAGCAGGAAAGGGAATGGAGAGAATGGGGCGCCGCAGAGAGCTGGGGGGCAGCAGACCATGGGGGCAGTTGCTGCCTGATTGATCTCAGGAGGAACAAGCCTGCTAGAGGGGACCTTGGGCTTCGCAGGGCTGCAAATGAGCAGGACAGGCACTGAGCACTCACAGGGACGCCTTTGGCCACGGCTGAGGTGGCTCTACACCCAGAACCGACGGGGTGAGGTCAATAAACCAGAGACAGATGGTGAGGAAGGAGCTGGGTGTAGGGATGCCCGTGGCCGGTACTCACCTGGTGAAGTCCTCGTCCCCGAGCATGTGTCGAGGGATGGGCGAGTACCTGGATGGAGTCACCTGGGGAGGGACGGGGTAGGCGGGCTTGCTCTCCACACTGCCCAGGTAGCCCAGGCTGGAGTTATGGCTTATGTGGTTGTCAGCCAAGGCTGAGAAGGCTGCGGGAAGGAGAAGGGCATCAGGACCAGAAATCATGGCATAGAGGCTTCAGTGTAGCAGAGAGCAGCCCAGCAACGCTCGCCGCCCAGCTTGCGCTCGTCCGTCAGCCCCCAGCGCGCTCTCTCCTCCCCTCTGCCAGGCTCCCATGCCACCGTCCACCTCCACGGCTCGGTCCCCACCACCGCCGTCCCCTCCTGGCCCAGGCACTGCCCCGGCCGGCGGCATACGTACTGCTGGCATAGTCGGGGGGCGCG